TTGGAGGCATGCTCGAAGTACCAGGACGGTTTGGGGGACCCTCCGATGCAAGAAAAAGAGAGGGATGCCACATGGAATGATGCATGTGATGATATTAAGTCTTAATTAAGCCTTTGAATCTGCGCACTTCGTCATAAAGCACACCTAAGGTTACCAAAATAAGGGTCAACCCAAGTTGATCTCGAACAGTAAAAAATAGAATTAAACTAAAGGTGCATTGAAATTGGAACCTATTGTTATAGTTTCAGTTCCAAGTTTGGTGCGATCAAAATGAGCTGGAATAAAATTAAGTTTCAGTCGCACTGGAATTGGAGCCGAAATTTTGAGAATAGGTTCCGATTTCAATGCACCTATAGTTTAATTCCATTTTTTTACTGCTCAAGATCAATTTAAGTTAAGCTTTATTTTGGTAATATTAGGTGTGTGGCCAGTGGGTGGCGCAAAATGTCAGCCCTGTCAACCTGCACCTAATATTACCAAAATAAGGCTCAACCTAAGTTGATCTCGAACAGTAAAAAAGGGAATTAAACTAGAGGTGCATTGAAATCGGAACCCATTCCCATAGTTTCAGTTCCAATTTTGGTGTGACCGAAAGGAGCTGGAATAAAATTAAGTTTCGGTCGCACCGAAATTGGAACTGCAACTATGAAAATAGGTTCCAATTTTAGTGCACCTTTAGTTTAATTCCATTTTTTACTGTTCGAGATCAACTTAGGTTGATCCTTATTCTGGTAATCTTAAGTGTGAAGCCTTAATATTAAGGCCATATTAAGCCTTAGCCTTAATTAAGGCTTAACCCTTAATTGCAACACTGGCGCCGTCATAAATAAAGCACCCTGACGCCGCCAAGAGACAATGTGTGCCATGAAAAATACCGGTTTCATTTCAGTTGCCTGCATGCCTTTTGCCCCCGGAAAAAAACTGAAGTGACAGAATTCAAGAGAAACACTCTTAGATTGGTCTTGTAGAGTTTCTTCGCATGATTTTGCGAGTTACGCGTCAAACGAGAGCTGAGCAGAATCATTGCCGCATTTGGAAAACCGGATATTCAGAATTCTATTTTGGTAATGATCCGCAGACCGCTTAATTTTTTGCTCTTGCGTCCTCTATGTCTACGCCAGGGCCACAAACTCCACGCAAGAGGTCCTCAAGGCCTCCTCCTCGCTCTCAGGGAACACCCCGCCGCAGGACCGCCAAGAATCGCGTCAAGTCACGATGTGACATTTTGTGACGCTAATTAGCGGCAACTCCGGAATTTATTTTGACGTGTCATAAACATGCTATTCAAAAATTGAAGAGACAGAATTTGCCCATTTTGCGACTTGATTCAATAGAGTCCATAAAAAGTGTCATCTAGGTCACTGAGAAGTACTCCATGGAAGTGCTCGCCGTCAGCAGAGAGCGTAGGAATAGCACAAATACCCCAGCACCAACTGATGATATAGGAATTTAATATAGAGGGAAAGAATTTATGGCATACAATGAACATTTTATCCTGTATCACCCGGAGGAAAACAAAAATATTAGTGACACAAATCGGTCTCAGAGATCTCCCTCATTTGGCCCATCTTGATCCAAGCCTCTCTCCGAGATAGACCGGGTATCCGGTCCGGAGAGAGGGTTGATCCGAACCTAGCGCGCGCCAGATAGAAATTTAAAATAATACAATTTATAGCATATATAGGTGAGATAGGCAATGCAATGTCCAGAAGATGTAAGATACGAAAGAAGAGTGGGCAGCCGTTGCCCCACATCGACAGAAGCGCGGCCAGTGACCGACTGAGTACGCAAAGATTGCTGTAACAGCGAGGTAATCGCAATATCACAACGGGTTTGCTTGTCCTGCATCCTCAGGGCCTCAACCAACTCCTGTAAGGAGACCGCAGCCATGGCCGCGCAACTGGCAGTCCAACCAAATCTGCGCGATTTTTCTGAGCATTGGTTTGGTGTCGAAGGTGCCATTGATACTTGTGGGCTTCTTGGAAACAACACAAGTGTTGACACAGTGAACGGTAGAAAAGTCGGTTGGCGATGACTGATGTAGTGCGGTGGTGTAAGAAGAAGAGGAATGGTGTTGCCCAAATTACCGATTGTGCAACAGGACCAAACAGTCTCAGGCTCATGCTCCGGATAGATCCGATACTCAACCGAGTGTGTGATTAATTACTCGCACTCCTGGAGGCTTAGCCGTTACTTAGTTGAAATTACAAGGGCAATGCCGCACTGAATGAATCACTCGTCCTGGACGATGGTGCTCTTCCCGACACGCAAATGCCATCCAAAATTTTCCGGAAATCTTTATTCCGTACCAGGGAAACGACATTGACATGGTCTCCCAGTCAGGTATACACTCCCTTGTTATTAATAATATTATTATTCCTACTCTCCGCAGCCGCATCAATTCAGGGCGCCTGCCTGATGACGCCGTTGAGCATGCTGATCTTTTTCTAGTCTCGGTGAGCACAGCCACCTCATGACATCTTAATTTGGAACCCTGTCATGATTTTTGGTCTCATAGGCAGGGTTGAGCATTGAGCCAGAGCATTTACTGAGACTCTTGAGAACGAATGAAATTGACGGAAGAAAAAGGATCACGGCAGATCACGGCTCGCATCAGCTGGAAACGTGGGAATGTTTGGCATCATCGGATTCAATCAACAGACTCGAAAATCTCTTTGTTCTTCCCGCCACAGACGCTGCCGGCCTACCTACCGACAACTTCAACTGGATCAACACACCTTTCATCCTTCTGAACTGACCAGAGGCCTCTCCCCTCACCATTCTCTTAATGCGCCCGCTTCTAGGAGTCGGGAGTGGGGCCGGGGGTCGCTAGAGTGCTATGTAGTGCGGCTAATGTTGTAGATAGCCTCAGGCCTCGAGAGGCTGACTGTGGCAATGCATTGGCGCATAACATCCATATTGCTACAACCCTTTGATACTTCTGTCTCAGAAGTAGATCTCAGAATCGGTTACTGGCCGCGCTTCTGTCGATGTGGGGCAACACCTGCCTACCCTTCTTTCGTATCTCACATCTTCTGGGCACTGCATTGCCTATCCCACATATATATACTATAAATTGTATTATTTTAAATTTCTATCTGGCGCGCGAGCGTAAATGTTTATTTGTACAAAGGAACCGTCATACGAGCGAGAAATATTCGAGATTGCGGCGACCCATCACCCCGAAACGATGCCCACTCTCCTGCTAGTTGCTCACCGCGTTCTTCAGTGGTATGGGATTATTTTATTAGCAAGAAACCTTATATTTTATATTCTGCATCCAGGATCGAGCCTCTTTTGTACCGTGTGGGCCGAACCACTCTTGTTCTGGATAGAATCGCTGCTCGGCGGCTGGATCCCGCCAATCTTCTTCATCTACAACCCGCCAAATGGAAACATGTCCAGCATCTACTGGCGTGGGATTCCCACAGCGATCTCTTACCCATTCTTCCACTTTGTGGCCTCGAAAGGCTCGGATTACGCAATGAAGATCCATCGATGCTCACTGCCCTCGAAGTTATGCCGCTGGCATTGCAGCACTTGTCCTTCATCCATAGTTCCACTCTTGATGTCATTGATCCTAGTCGCCCTCTGTCCGGACGCTCACCCATCTCGACATCTTCGCAGGGACTGAAAGGCAACCCCTCGATTTCGAGTTCGCTCAATTGCCCGCGCTCACACACCTGGGGATGCATGGTGGCCGACGTCCGCCGTTCTTTTTCGCCCTTTTTGCGAGCTGCCCCAAGCTTCACGTTTTGGTCAGCAACATCTGGATCTGGACTTCCTGGAACAGACGACAGGCGTACCAGCCAATTGATGTCGACCTGCGCTTCGTGATGATGTTCGCTCAAACCAGCGTAAATAAGTTGGTCGAGAACTGGACACTGTCAATGGGCGCACAGGGCGGGAAAGACTTTGGGCTCGTGCCGAGCTCTTTATTGATAAACGCAGACGAGGGGAAATCGAACCAGGTAAATGTCCCTCCCCCGCCCTCACCGTGTTCGACCCTGATGTTTATTCTTGCTAGCCTCACGATTCTGGATTGAAGAATCAGACCAGATTTGACGAGCTGCCGATCTCGTAAGAAGTGAAGAGATGGTACTGAATAACTTCTGACGTAGACGCGCATGCCGTTCTTAAAATATGGGTTTTTTTTTTACAAAGTCTCATTTGTATGATGATCCTGCTGCACATCTCTGTCTGTATTATGCACTTGGACCGTCCTTTTTACTGATCAAGCAGGCACTTGTAGCAAAATTCAGGATTAATCCCACCGGGTGTTGCAGGCTCTCTTAAAGAATGTGCAGGTATATCCAGGTTCTTTGGAATGGCATAAAGCCCTGGTTGATTAATAGAAATCACCCACAACCCATAGGTATAAAGGATCTCACAAGCTGATGTGGGAGACGGAGGTTCGAATCCTCCCTAGGGCATGTGCGGGCATAAATTAGTTCTTTTTTGCACAGTTTAATGAATCGGATTCGCTCGAGATACTGGTGCTGCGTGTATCTGTCTGTATATTGTATAGTCCCTGAATTTCGGTGATTTCAACGAACCTCAGCAAGCGGACCATTGTAGCAACCTGCTCGGTGTCAATTAGATTTATGTAAAACTTTCTTTTCAGGCTTTGCAACAATGTCACTGGTATATCCAGGTTTGTTGGAAGGGTATAAAGCCTTGGTTGATTAATGGAAATCACCCACCATATTTAAACATCTCGCGGGCATTGATGTAGGAGACGGAGGTTCGAATCCTCCCCGGGGCATAGCGACTCGAAATACTTTTTTTCACAGTTTGATAAATCGGATTCGCTCGAGATACTGCTGCACGCCGTATCCGTCTGTTTATACAACTTGGACAGTCCTTGCATTTCTTCATCGTTTTCAAAAAACCTTACTAGGCGGCCTCAACCTTATTTAGAAAATCGGGATTCTACCGACTTGCAGCGTTGAAGCTTGAAGGATGTACAGGTCTATCCAGGTTCGTTGGGAGGGTATAAAGCCCTCGTTGATTAATGGTAAATCACCTACACCCCTTAAAAGATGGTAGGATGGATTGATGTGGGCGACGGAGGTTCGAATCCTTCCAAGGGCATGCGCGCAGCATTTGGTTTTGTTTTTTTCAAAGTCTCATTGGTATTCGCGATCATGCTGCACATCGCTGTCTGTATTATACACTTGGACAGTGCTTGAATTGAATAACCTTTTGCTGATCAGGCGGACCCTTGTAGCAAAATTCAGGATCAATTCCACCGTGTTGCAGGCTCCCTTAAAGAATGTGTTGGTATATCCAGGCTCGTTGGAATGGGGTAAAGCCCTGGTTGACTAATGGAAATCACCCACCCCTCTTTCTTGTCAGCATGACTATGGTGTGGACAGTGGGAGACGGGGGTACGAATCCTCCCCAGGGCATATCGAGGTCTGTCATCTCTCTTTTTTTTCTTCTTTCTGGTCAGTGGGTTGATTCAGATTCGAGATACTGACTGCTTATACTGCGCCTCTTCAGAAATGTGCTTGGCACTGTTTGAGAACCAAAAAAAGGTCGGCCCTGGGTAAATCCCCCCGATGATCATCACGGCGGATTGCGAATTGGCAGTGCCACTGTGGCAAGGATCTGATTCTTCGGAGGTAGAAGAGTTAATTATGCAGTGCGGGCCCCGGGGTGCCAGGACGAGGAACGAGAAATATAGATTGATAAAGTGAAAATGGTGTCAGCCAGAAGAGAAAAAGTAAAGAGTACGACTTGTGGCGGACGGATGGGAGGACGCATGGAGCATCAACTTCAGAATCCCGACGCGATATGGAAGGAATGATGTTGATCTGAGTCGTGGATACAATACATCGTTCGACGCTCTCCCTTGTCCTCCTTCAAGGGGGTCCAAATATGCGAAAAATATATATCACCTACAATTTTTTTTTTCAGGGGGGTCCAGAGACCCCCCCCCCAAATCTCGCCCAATAGTGGGTGCTACCCCCCCATATTTTGCGGGCCTTTTCAGGGTATGAATGAGAGTGTTTTGGCGCTTTGTATCATTTTTTTTTCCGCTCCCAGGCCACTTGCTAGGAGACGAACAAGTTTCTCCAAAATTTGATGCACGTCAAAAATTCCCTTTTTGGGAGGGGTTGTACAGTGGCAGTACAATAAATTTTGCCCAATGCAGTAATAATGTACCTCCCTCTATCTCAATGAGTATACGTTGGTAATTTCCCTACCGGGCGGAGCCTGGATACCCTTCCAGTAGTCTCTCTTTCTCTCTGCTCTGGCTTCTCGCTTGCGATCTCCAATAATGAAGCGAGGCATAAATCGAATACACATTGCTCAAGATAGGCTACGACCGAATAAGCGAAAACAAACAAGCGTCATTCCAATAGACCACTGGGCCACATAATACTTAAGGGCCACCGCAGTAATGCATCCTCCTCATCATCCTCTTAACTCAAGCCAACCAACTTGCCCGGAATTCATGAAGCACATGTTTCTCGCCTCTCGAATAACCGGTTATCCTGTCCAGCATCTGATCTCGAACATCGCCACTCAAGCAGCAGTCCAATCCCCGCCTGCCAACAGTGTTCCGTCGGACGCGGTGGCTGTTGAGGAGTGAATCTCCTGATATGGCGAGTAGCGTTTAGTTCTTTACATGTATTTGTTTGTTTCATTCTCGATCGTATTTAAGGGGCTTCGGCCCCTAACGACCCTCAGCCTTACACATCGTTGTACGACTGAGGGTACGTCTATTCCCTTGTTCATACTTATATATATTTACTTACTGCCTGTAGACTACGACTGACTATCCGTCGTCTACAGGTAAATATATGAGCCTTACACATCGTTGTACGACTGAGGACTACGACTGACTATCCGTCGTCTACAGATTCGCAGTCAGACGCCTATCGGTGTCTGTGTGTCCAATAATTGGTTCGTGAACACAACGGTTCCGCAGGCTCACCCCATATCCCATCCCGTATCGAAATCCCCCCTTCAACCCCTATTCACCATGTCCACCTCTATCCCAATCCTCGCTGCCGACAAGCAAATGGACGACGTCAACTGGGGTGTTTGGCAAGAGCTCGTGCTGAGCTTGCTCCGTGGAAAGGGCGTCGACGGGTATCCCACCGGCGTCATCCACAAGGTCAATCTTACCACAACGATCCCTACTCTGTACGGCCTTCACGCTTCCCCCATCAACTCCCGTAACCCGACCGCCGAGGAGTACGAGCTCCGCGATAATATGGCTGCTGCCATCATTTATCAGAACATTGTCGACCCCCAAGCGCATGGGCTCACCTCGACCATGACGAGCAGGGAGATGTGGGCGGCCCTCCATGTCAAATTCAACCGCACGTCGGAGGTCTTGAAGTCCTCGGCGAAAGAACGCTTGACGTCGCTTAAGCTCGCATCTGGAGTGGGACTTCCCGCTCACCTCGAGTCGCTCACCAAGCTCCGGAGCGAAGCTAGTCGCATCGGGGCTCGGGTCTCGGACACGGAGATGATTTCCATTCTCCTTCAGTCGCTCCCCGCTGCCGAATTCGGGCAGTCCATCATGATTCTCCAGGTCATGACTAGCCTCGCAGACGTCACTGGCAACCTTCTTCAGTATTGGGATATCCGTTACAAGAAGGAGGCCGAGGCTGCGTCCGAGGGAGGTGGCACCGTCGCGAGCGCGCTCTCCGCAAACATCATGCGCGAAAATTGCGACAACTGCACGTACACCGGGCACAACAAGAACAATTGCTGGGCCTTAGGCGGTGGAAAGGAAGGCGCAGGGCCGCCGTGGTGGCGTGCCCCGAAGGGGAAGGAGCCGCGTCAGGCCATGATCGACGCCGCAAAGGCCGCAAAGGCTGCGCGCAAGACCACCGCGGCCGCGGCGAACGTCCAGACCCCGGCTTTGCCTGCTCCTCCTGCCGCTAACGCTCCTACTGCCGCGTTCTCTTCCCCGATGGCGATCTACGCCCTCAGCACCTTCACCACCGACGACGACAGCGACGATGGTTCGTCACCCTTCGCATCTTCTTCAATTGCGGACGATAACATGTTCTCTAGAACCGAATGTGGCGGGTCAGATCCTCCCATTCTAAATGAGCATGTTATTCGTACCGTAGTTGATGTACCCGTTTCCCCGTCAATATATGCCACTCTCCCTCCCGTGTCTACCATCAGCTCTCGGATTCCGACGTACCTGGACAGCGGAGCGTCAGACAATTGTGTGGCAAACAAGAAACGGTTCCTCACTTACACCGACGTGAATGTGGAAGGGTCGACTGCGCTGAAGTCCGGCGGCAACTTCAATGTCGCTGGATGGGGGCTAGCCGAGTTTGAAGTTCGCGTAGCTGACGGGTCAGTGCACAAGATCCACGTCGAAGCGATGCATACCCCCGGATTTTCTATGAACTTGATTTCGTTGCCGACGCTTGATATGCGAGGATTGCGGGGAACGTGGGGAAGCGGTCGGCTATCCGTCATTAACCGAGACGGGAAGGTAGTCGTCGATGGGCAGATTGCGCGCGAAATGGGGCGTCGCAAACTGTACCAGGTGGATGTCGTCGACAACATGGACAGTGGGGAGGTGGTCGCAGCGATTGCGGGACGCGACAGGAACCAGCCCACGGATCTTGAGACTTGGCATCCGAGGCTCGGACATGCGGACGTTCGCGTCATTAAGCGCATGGCCGAGAAAGAGCTTGTTGACGGTCTGAAAATCGTCAATAAGGAGTTGCGTGGTATGTGCGAAGACTGCATACTGGGCAAGCAAGACAAGGCGCCGTTTAACGATGAGGTGATCCACGAAACGAAGCCGCTCGAGCGCATCCACCTCGATTTGTGGGGCAAGGCAAGGACACCTAGCTGGTCTGGGGCGGTGTACATGATGTTGGTGTCGGATGGAGGAACATCGCTGAAGTTCCCTCTATTCCTCAATAACAAGAGGAAGGAGACCACGACAAGTGCCTTCGAGACGTGGGTGATCGAGGCGGAGGTGCAGACTGGGGAAAAGACGAAATGTGTCCGGTTTGACTTGGGGAAAGAGTTCGACAATGAACACTTCTTGGGCATGTGTGCCCGTCGAGGCATTCGCATCGAAAAGATCCCTAAAGACTCATCATCAGCGAACGGGCACGTCGAGCGTGGCAACCGCACCGTTATCGAGGGCACAAGGACCGGGCTCATCGAAAGCCAGATGAGCCACCGCTTCTGGGCTGAAGGAGCGACCGCACATTGTTATGTGCGGGGTTTTATTCCATCCTCCCGTCATCCCGACATTATTCCTTGGGTCGCATGGTTCCGGCGGAAGGACGCTGCTGGAAACTTCGTCAAGCTCAACGTGTCGCATCTGCGTGTATGGGGGAGTACCTGTTGGGTGAAGGACCTCGACGACCGCGAGGGGAAGCTCGGGGAGCAGAGCTGGAAAGGTAAGATGGTCGGGTATATGGGCCGGCGAGGGTATCGGGTCTTCGACCCTGCTCGAGCGCGCGTTTTCGAAGTTCGCAACGTCATCTTTGAGGAATCAGTTCCCCACCGCACTCGGATGCCGATTGCAGACGAGGACGAGCCCGAGTTGCCGTCGGACCCCGCCATCTTCGACAACGAACTAGCACCTGAGCAAGACGCTCCGTCAGCTATTCGACCTTCTCAGCAACCCGAAGCCGTACCTATGCAAGCCCCCGTTCTCAATCCTGCCCCAAATCCCGCTCCCGCTCCGAATCCACCTCCCGTCCCTGTCCAAGTCCCTCCTCCCACACCGCGCAGAAGCACACGCACACAGAAGCCTTCCGAAAATCTACTTCGTTCGATGATGGCGTTGAATGAGGAGAAGGAAGCGCGCGTGGCTGGGAAAGACTGGGCTCTGGACACCGTCCGTCCCAGTGTGAACGCGGTCGACATCGACTGGGCAGACTTTGATGAAGGCTACTTGGAGTCCCCCTGGGCGTTTGCCAGTATCGTGAAAGGGGGAGGGCTGCATCCGATTCCACGTTCGTATCGCGAAGCAATGCGCGAACCGCAGAAGTGGATGCCTGCGATGAAGGCAGAAATGGATCAGCTTGAAACACGGGGCGTGTGGGAGTTGGTCGACTTACCAGCGGGGGAACGCGCCATCGATG